ACACACACATAAATAAATAATAAAAAAAAATAAAAATTGTAAAAATAAATTTGTACTATATTATGCCAAAACTGCAGAAATAAGTTACTACTATTGAAAATTATTTGTCTTGCTGTTGCTTGACTCTAATGTGTTTAAAAATAATTGGTAGAAACATGTGTTTTATATTTAAGACATGTTGACTTATTAATGTTTAAAACAAAGGGAATGTTTAAAACTTGTTTGTCTTGTTTTATGTTACTTTTGTGTTGATTTCTATTACTCCAAAATTTGTGTAATTTCTTTTAAAATGAACTATTTCCTAAATATGCAAAGGCATTCAGGGTTAGATTCTGAGCTATAGAAAGAGATTCGATGTATTGCCAAAAGTTATATGGCAGATCACTTAGCGTCCATTGAAGCAGTCAGTTTTTAAAATCACTGTTTTGCTGTAGTGAGTTTGCTTTCTCCAGATCTTTGGAAATATTTAATGTACTTGAAAATAAATACATGCTGAAAGATGATACTGTAATTTGTAAGGATCTTAAAAGTATGATATTCAAAATACCATACTTCTTCTAAATCTCAAGAAATCATATTTATTTAACATAAATTATTCAACAGAATGTAGCAGTTGTAGGCTACATATTCGTTTTCATTTGTACCACACAGTGCGAAGGGCATGGAGCTTGCATGAAATGTCAGCCCTGTTCCAACTTGTGATGTGATATGAGACAAGTCATTGTCCTCCTGTGAAACTTCTGCTAGGTGTCTTGAAAGCTTCTGGGGCTATGAAGGACAATCACACATGGCCCTCTGCTATCAGCTCACAGCTAAGAAGGAAAAATTGACCTTTAAAAGCACAATTAAAACTATATTGTGATGGTGGAATAGGCGAGAGATGTGGTAGGTGATGGCATACTTTTCTGAGTTGCTGGTCCTTTAGTAGAAGGTGAAGATATTTCAACACTTAAGCGTCACACTCAAATGGACCAATGACCAAAATATAAATGTTATTCTTTTTTAAAAAGTTCCTCAGAAAATATAAAAATTAGTATTATAAGTTAACAGATTCAAATTAGGGCTACATCTCTTTCCATAATTCTACTCTAAGACTCTCTGAGGACACAATTAAAAAACAACCCTATGTGTGTGTGTGTGTGTGTGTGTGTTGCTGATTACACTGCCATTTATAAGAGGAAGGAATAAAACATCTTAAGTGTCTATCAATAAGGAAATTGCTGGATAAATACGTTAAAGTCATATAATTCAATAGTGAGTAGCCATTAATTGATGTTGATTGTTTATGTAATGTTTTCCACAATTCAAATGGTAAAATGTCTACATTTAGTTGAAAATGCAGGTCATAACACTAATATGTCACATTGTTCCACTTTAGTAAAATTGTGTGTATGACAAATATTTACATGTGTCTCACTTACTCTTCTCTTGTTGCTAGGACAAATACCCAACACCCAAAATGAAGGAAGGAAAGGCTTCTTTAGCCCACAGTTAGTGGAAATTTCAGTCTATACTCAGCTGGCTCCAAGGCAGAATGGCTCATGGCAGAGAGCAACCTTTCATGCTGGTGGCATAGAGCAGAGAACAAAGGGAGTTAGAAACAAAAAATATAATTAATTTTTGTGATAAACCTTTCAAAACTCACTAAATTGAATAGCAGACTACATTTCATCTTTAGTAGTAAGTAGCATGCTGTCAGCTAAAATCTTTTGGGTGGTTGCTGGGTACCATGGTCATTCTACACACAAAGGCCAGGGTGATGCCAGTGTAGAGAAAGCCGTCCTCCATAACTAGATGGGGTAGGGAGCAGCAGGCGGAGAAATCCCTGGGTGATCCTTGTCCTGAAGTTTCGGAGTACCTGACAGTGTGTTCTTAAAACTACTCTTCAGATGCCAAGTTTTAAATTAATACTGCTCTCTTAATATTTGATTGACTGTGATATGGCTAAAATGTATACTTTGGATATCTATATTACAGAGTTTAGGCATGCTAAAATGGCAACACCTTCGCTTCACAATGTAGCGGTCTCAGTAAATCTTGTCTGATTAAAAAGATGTTTGAATGTCCCCATACCTCTTCCCTCACCACTAACTTTTGAGTCCTTGTTTTTAGCCTTTCTTTGCTCATTTGTGTTTTTAGCCCTTTTTTTGCTCATTTCTTTATACAGTAAATGTGCAGTCAAAACATCCACAGATAAACACCTTAGAAATTATCCTTTATAAAACCTTTCTGAGGTTAGGACTTTACAGACATTCAGGGGTAAATGAACTTAAGCCCACAATGAAACTAAAATGTTTCAAATTTAAAAAGATGGTATGATTTAAAATCCATGTTTCCCATCAGCCTATTTCTTTGTCCCGGATGTTTGGTACATTTACAGTTAAATCTCATGCACTGAATTAAGTGTTTTGGAGCAGACCTGAATGGACTTGCCACATGCTTTCTTAGGAGTTGTTCAGTCCATGCATGTTAAAGGTCCTACTGGGAGGGGGGAAAAGTCTATATTTTTGAGGAAATATCAGATTCTACTGTGTTGACAGCTGAGATACAGTCCTCTAAAGCAATTCTGGCAAATTAACAACCTAGAGAAAATCATATTTCCACATTTTGTCATTCAATCAAACGCTTTGCTGAAATCATTTATAGGCGATAGACAGACACACATTAATTTTATTCACAAATCAGGAAATTCTGTTTTCTTTGTCTACTTCCTAATTAAGTTATTCATGAATTTCATGGGTTTTTATTTAATTAAATCATGTGAAATAACTTGACTGATATGAAAAGCAAATCTCTAGTGTTAGAGATTATAGAAGTTTGACAACAGTAGGCAAGGAAAAATGTTTTCTTTATATGTGTGGTACAGAATCTGTTTGAAGGCACTCCCTAAATAAATATAGCAAATACTCTTCTTCAGCTGTTTGCTATAACTCTGTTTTGATTTAAATGCTTCGAAGGTTGACATTGTTTATGAGGACCTCTCTCATCTAAGGGTTATCCGAAGCTATTTTAGTCACATCCACGTCAATTTTTTTTTTTTCAAGATCCGAGGAGGCAAGCTCATGATAACGTACACCCGTAAGATCGATGCTGGCAAATACGTCTGTGTTGGCACCAACATGGTCGGGGAACGCGAGAGCGAAGTAGCTGAGCTAACTGTTTTGGGTAAGTGTGATTTTACCTCATCTGCTTACTCAGACGTGTGCCTCGTGATTATCCTGTGGCTTTATAAAAGGGAGGAGGAGGTGAGTTATCAAAGAATAAATGTTCTTTATACAAATGAGGAGGGGAATATAGGTCCAATACTATCTGGGTGCAAGAGAAAGAGGGGAATCAATGACGTGGCCCAAGATAAAATGGCCTGGAGTGTGGCAGAAGAGCTAAGAGGAGAAGGTCAGCACAGACAGGTTCCTAGAAGAAGGGGCCTCTGGGGAATAATTTCCTACATAACGTTTTAAATTATATATCTGTTCTTAATTAACATCTAAAATGATTTTCTGCTGATGCCTCTTTTATTTGGAGACTATTCTTTCTAATTTTAGAGAGACCATCATTTGTGAAGAGACCTAGTAATTTGGCAGTAACTGTGGATGACAGTGCTGAATTTAAATGCGAGGCGCGAGGAGACCCTGTGCCTACGGTGAGGTGGAGGAAGGACGATGGCGAGCTGCCTAAATCCAGGTATTCGAGAGTGTTAAGGGTAGGATTGGACAGACCTTAGGTACTGCGACACTGTTCTTCACCTCCAGTGGGACAACTTACAGATTTTACTATGATAATGTGAGAGGAATGAGCATTCATTGGAAAGTATTCTTCCAAGCTTGAATTTTGCTCTCTTGGACTAGAGACACATGGTGTGATACTTGGTCTCATCCTGGGCAGCAGCATAGAGTCACAGCTCCCATTCACCCAAGTAATCAGGAAGAAAAACAACCAGTATCCTACAGCACACCATTTTGCTAAGCTAACACTTTTAGTAGGCTGAAGCATGAGATACACTTAAATTTTTTTTTTTTAATTTTACTTATTTGATACAGGGTCTCGCTATGCAGCTCAAACTCTTAGTGATCTTCCTGTCTCAGCCTCCCCAGCTCTTGGATTACAGGCATTGGATTATACCTAGCATGCCTCTTTTCAGTGGCTGGTCCGGCATGCCCTGAGTGGCATGGCATGGCATGTGGTACCAGGGATTGAGCCCCCGTTCTTGTGCTTGCCAGACAAGCATTTAGGTATCTCCCCAGCTATCTCCCCAGCTCCTGACATGTATTTTTGACTTATAATGCCTTCAATTTATAAGGGTTTTTTTCAGGACATACCCAGAAGCCGTAGAGCTTCCATATATACCGTGATCAGGGGACCAGGTAGGACACCAGAGCTAATCTAAGTGAGGAGATTGCTGTGTTTTCTAAGTTTATAGAAGGACCATATTTTCTTGATCCTGCCTTGCCCAGGAAACCCTTGTGAAAGGTGAGATTTCTTACACATAGTTTTCTTCTCAAACAAATCACAAGCAAAACAAAATTCTTACATGAGGCTATTAGGAAAAAGAAGATCGGCACAACCATGAAGACGTAACTGTGAGCCAATTCAAATCTTGGGAAAAGGGATCAGAGTTCCTTGTTCTCTGTTAAGTCTTACACTGACTGGGAGCAGAAACAGAGTAATTAGAGGGCCACAGGGAAAGAGGCAAGAGAATACACAGGTGCTGTGTGTAGTCTGTGCTCCCCGTGGTACCTGCTCCTTCAGCAAGCATGCTCTCAGTTTCTTCTGTGTGTGGGAACTGGGCCACTGGCATGCACTTAGCTCCTGTCCTTACGGGCAGGTCATTACAGAGCAACACTGTCACGGTTTTCTTTGACCAGATAAAGGTAGCCAAGTAGAAGGGAGTGTGCAAAGGGACATGACACATAAATAATATTTGAGAAAAATGCATCGGCTTAATAATCAAAAAAGAGTTAGTGTTCTGGTGGAGGTCATTACAGCATAGCTACAGATATGAAAAGGAACATCCCGTCTTTTGAAGGACAGGGTTTTGTATGGCGTCTGCATAACCTGTGCCATAAGAAGCAATATGGTATAAGATTAGAAATTGGAGCTGCGTCACCAGCAGGCTTGTGTAGGGAAGTATTATGAGTGTTACTGGCTGACAATGTTGAGCAAAGTGAGATTAGTATTAGCAGTTGCTTTCCTTTTTTTGTTTTTAGAAAAAATAATTTTGTTGTCACTCTGGATGTCACGTTACGATGAGGAGATGCCAGTAGTGGGGACACTTGGCTGCCCTTGCAGAGATAAAAATGTAAATTTATTATTGTCTCAAAAATAAAATAAAAATTTAAAAGAGATTAGCAACAATAAGTAACATAAGACACAACTACAGTAACACCTTAAATAATGTTATTTAAATCTTTTATAAAAAGATGTAAAGCGCTTGACCTGGAGATGAGGGGGATATAGAGCTCCAGAGTGGAGAGAAATTTCTGGGACTACATTGACAAGTTTCATGAATTTGTTGGAATGTGGAGGGTCAATGGAGGGAGACAGAAAATTTGTTGGAAAAGGAGTGTGAATGGCTGAGGGAAAGGCCAGAAGGTGTTATTAAAACATATTAAATATTAGTTGCCTGTCAGGGATGAGACCCCACTATTAGTTATAAACGTGAATGTGGAACTTAGAGGAAATACTGTTGGAAGTCTTTGTGTTTTGAATCAATATATAAGTCACGTGTGTAGACACCATAACTGAGGGAGATCAGGTAGAGGAAAAAAGGGAGCTAAAGGGAAAATTCAAGAGAAACCCAATGTTTAAGGGTAGGGCAGATAAGATGAGGCAAGTGAACCCTTAAGGACACCATCAGCTCAGACATCTGCTCTGGCCCTACTCTAGTTGAAGATAGTACTCAAGTGACATTGCCTTCTACTGTGACAGCTTCCACATCTATAAAAGGAACATAAGAGTTCATAAACTTCTTGTACAACTTTGAAAAGTTTTATATCATAACGTTTTAAGATGGGAAGAATTTATTTTATTTTAATGTATTTAGTACAGGGCCTACAGGGTCTCACTAAATAGATTGGACTCATAGCAATCCTCCTGTTTTCAGCCTCCTAAGTGCTGGGATTACCGGCGCACACCACCACACCCAGTCTCAGTCACTTTCTCAATGTGCTGTGGGGGTGAGGCCAGCACAGCAAGCTGAGGATTGAACCTAGTCCTTTTGTCTGCTTAAGCAGGCACTTTAACCCACTGAGCTATCTGACTGGCTCAAGACTGGGGAAGAATTTAATTAACAATGTCATTGTATTTTAGTGTGAAACAGTAGCTTGAGAAAAGGAAGAAAAAATACCAAGTTCATCTAAAAGTCTCCTGCTGGAAAGTGGCTTAATCTGTTAGCTTATAGACAATGAAAACAAGACGCGCATGTAGATGAATCCCATATTTTATACTTTTAAGTTTTCTGAAGTGCTTGTTGTATTGATTTAAAGCCTAGATATGTATGCGTTGGAATGTAATCTTTCTAGAATGATCTTATTTAATGTTCTCTCTTTTGTGATGCTGTTAGATATGAAATACGAGATGACCATACCTTGAAAATTCGGAAGGTGACAGCTGGTGACATGGGATCTTATACTTGTGTTGCGGAGAACATGGTTGGAAAGGCTGAAGCATCAGCTACTCTGACTGTCCAAGGTAGGCACTGGGGAGTTGCTTGCCGTGCTGTGCTTCATGGAGCATGTTCATGTTTGGAGAAAATATGTGTTACCTGTTTTAGATATAGACTTTAAATATGGCTCTCAATATTTTATGTCAAGCATAGTTGAAGGAAAGTTATCACTTACCTAAGGGCATTCTATACGTATTAAAAACTGAACTAGATTTTCAAAATTTGCAGAGTTCTATCTTGGTCAAAAAAAATTATGCTTCAATCCTTAGGTCTTTAAAAATAGTATCTTTCTAATGTTCTAACCAAAGGACAATTATTACCATGAAATCTTTGTCTTTGGAAGAAACCAAATCTGTTACATCAGATCATGTCTCTTCAAGGATTTGGAAAATTGATAACACGAAGAAGGGAGCATTCTATTTCTCCCCTGAAATGTGAAACCACGTGGAGGAAAGATACTTTGTGATCTTTTTCTATGCAGTGTGTATTGCCTGTGATGTAACAAACATTCAGTATTTGCTGAAAAAAAGAATTTCACTTGTACTTTGCTATTTTTGAGAAAGGCTTGTTATTTGGTGTTACATGAGCCAAAGTAAATATGATAATTTGTATCTACAAGTTTTCTGAAAGTCAGGAATCCTGTTCTGTGCACACACATTTGTGTCACCTCCACTGTATTCATGATCTAGATGTTTTCATCATCTTCACTCCTTTTCTCCTTTCTCTATAATATCTAATGTTAATCTCTATGTGTTATGAGAATTTTTCTTTTTCTTTTTTGCTGATGATGGGTTGTTTATTGTGGATTTTCAGAGGCAGTGACCTTTAAAACATTTTATTGGTGGAAAAAATCTCTATTTTGACAAGGATATATAGTAAATGGGTTTTAGCCATAAGCCACTTAGCTTATTTCTTGGTCTGCCATTAGCAACACTTGGTGCTGTCATCTTTGCTGAATACTGTCTCTTTTGAGGCTATTAAGAAGAAAAAAAAGTGGCTTTTGAGAGAGTGTTTCTACTGTGGGCTTTCTGCAAAAGAGCCTTGTGGGCTTTTTTACACTAGGAAAAAAAAGAATAAAGAATAGTCCCTTCCTGTCTCTAGAGCCATTATGTCTCACTTTGGGGTTTTTAGCTTAACCTCATAAAGACAAAAGGAAGAAAAAGATCAAGAGCAAACATTGAATTTCTAAGGCCTAGACTATGTCTCTTTAATCTAAGTTAGACTTGAACTCTACATGAAGCTAAAAGCATAAGAAAAGAAAACCTCTTTACATTCAGAAAAAGCATAAATTTAAGAGATGTCAAATTCAAGTACAAAAGTCCTCCACAGAGAATGAAATAGCCAAGAAGAACATAATACATGAAAAGGTGGGACTATCTCCTGGCCATTATGACAGGGAGGTTGATTGTCTACCATATTAATGAAATCTGTTTCACTTGTTTAAAGTCTTTTACCTTGGTGTACGCTTTTGCAGTAGCCACTCTACTATATATACAATGGATGGTGAATCAAGGTAGATGTTTCTGTGATCTTAAACTTGGTTTGAAAGGCCATTCAGCCTTAATTTTTTTATGTTAATGCCTTGATCTCTAAGCCTTGATTTCAATAGAAATTTGGTTACAAATGATCAAATCCATAAACTATTTGATAAATATAGATGGCTTCATTTCAACTGTATTTAGTCTTTGATACACTCATGAAAGATCTATATACAGTTGAGTTCAACGTTTTGCTTCATTTTAATATAAAACATGCATAAACCTCACTGGTAAAATGTCTGTTAAATATTTGAATAATATAAACATTATTTTAAGAAAGTAACATGATTTCTAACTGCAAAAGATAACTTGGGGAAAAGAAAACTAAAAACAGCTGAAAAGTTAGGCATTTTTGTTTTGTTTTGAGATAAAATATAGAAAAATAAAGTATTATGAATAAAGTTAATATAAAGGAAACTAGTCAGAAATGAATTTTTTGGTAATAGGAAAACTTGCAAGAGTAAATTCAGTAGCTGTTTGATTTCTGTGTCACATGTCATTCATTATATGACACCTTAGAGATCATATCACCCAAAAATAATCTTTCAGTTAGGGATATAGCTCAGCAGCACAGTGCCTACCTGG